TTTGTCTTTGTTGAGGGTACCCCTTATACAAGGTTGACTGAAAGGAAGTTCAAAGAAAAACCACCCACTTTGGGCCACTTGTGCTCTTGTGTCTGTGTGTCTGTGTGTCTGTGTGTAAGTGCGTCTGCGTGTCTGAGTGCCTAATATCTGTGTAAGGGAAACCAAAAGGAACACTGCCACTTTGTGGGAACAAATCCCTATTTTTACCACATACCCGTTTGGGCACACCCGCCTACACGTAGAGCCCATGGCTCCCTGCTGAACAGAGCGAGGGTAGCGACAGCCAGCACCAGGACCACGTGGCGAAGGAGCAGCAGTACCTGACGTGAGCCTGGGCCTAGGAGCCCCGCTTTGGCCTGGGCTTCACAAGGAATAGCCCCCACCCCCCCCCCCCCCGGCCATCTTCCTTGGAGGTCCCTGGTTTTGCGCACTTGTCTGATGAACCTTCATGCAGCTTGATTGCATTCACAGTTCACTCGCGCCAAGCTGCAGTCACAAGTGGCTTCCGACATCTCATCGTTGCTAACCTCTGCATATTATTCCAATTCTGCAGAAAACTAAGAAAACAGAAAAGTGTCCGTTTGGTGATGTGATGATCAAACATGATCAAACTCCTTCGGCTTTTGGCAAGACTATATGGATGTGAATCTTAATGGAGGAGCTTTGGGTCCCTACTGAAACACAAACTCTCTGTTTGGGGACACCGATTTTCGGACCCTAGGTATCTGTAGTATCCCATCATATCGCATCCAAGCGGCCTGCTTTTTGTGCTGCACAACTCTCTGCCAAGACCTGCCCACCAGATCGAATGGGTGGAGCGCGCGCAGCGCCCCGTGGGGGGGGGGGGCAATGCAAACGCATACCAATGGGTATGCGTAATGTTGCTCCAATCGAAAGTGGGACTCTCATCATGTGTCTATTGTGTCACTTTTTTGCTCTCAAGGGGGTTTCTACGGAATCACAGGCAACTAGCGATTTGACATGTGATCAAAGGATTTCGGGGATTCAACAATAGGCCCTTTCAGCTGTGGCGGGGGACGCAGGGTCCATGCCAAGAACAAGCCAGATACAAGGAAGCATCAAAACAAAACACAACTGGCAACTGCCAGCAAACGCATTGAATTGTTTCTCTTGCAAGACATCCCAATGTCAACTTTTTGGCTTCATGACGCCCGTGACCTTATGCAAAAAAAGCCCAACCGGCCAATCCTAGCAACGGCGGGCCCACCTCTGCCTGGTCTGGGGCACGATGGGTGAATCCGAGCTGCGCACGATCAAGGGCCCCAAATACGCAACACCAATACGCCCCGCCCCGCATGAGCCACAGTAAAAATGTGAGGCAGTGGACATGAGAAAGCAGAGTCCTCTGAGTTGTGTGGGAACTGTCCTGATTCATGAGTCCTTCACACCCTTCTCAAATTGGCCGCAAGTTGTCGAAGTACTGCTCGGCACATTTACCAAGCCTGGCATCTAAGATGGCTTCCGAGCTTCAAATATTTGCATTCCTTAGATAACGTTTCCTGTCTCTACGTGAATTTGACCGGGGGGAGTTCAGCTTCCTGAATCTGCAGCACGCTCTTGCTGGACCGGATCTAGCCTACCAACATGATACTCGACCTGCGAGAACTATACGTGGATTCAGCAAAACGAAAGTAGACCCTATCCGTTGCTCATGCTGTGCACAACAGGCTTTTCTGCGCACGTCACCAAAAGGCGTCCCGTTGGCAGCTTGGGAGTCATGGTTTGCCACAAGTGCGGACAAGGCCAGGCCTAGCACGCTGTCATACCAACAATTTGCTGGCAAAGTTACTTCAACGAAAAAGGAGCAGGCGGCCTGGTGTTCCATGCTACGAGGCAGAACAAGAGCTTGATGTGACGGCCGTGCGATGGGGTCTGCATCGTGGAGCCCTTTCTAATGAAAATTGGGATGACTTCCAAAACCAGAATGGTCAACAACAAGCGACCCCTGAGACGCAGTCACTGAGCTCCTTTTAATCGACTTAGGGCCTGGGATTTATCCCAACATGTGCTTTTGCGAGGTTTCTTCAAGCATGTTTATACTTAGGTTGCTTCCAACAGAAAAGGGTTGCTCGAGTGTTCCATTCGGCCAATTTGCCGCGGCATCCTTGGACCACGCCTTCGAAGGTGCGCTGAAAAGCTGCGGTCCCTCAGCCTGGGGCAAATGGATTGAGTGCATGTCGAGGGTCTTGGCGCTGAACCGCCGCTTTGTAACCCTGTACCCCACATTTTGGTCTACGGTAACGCCAATCAGCGATCCACGAGTCATGCCATCCTGCGCCTTAATGTTGGATCTTTTTTTGGAATAGTACCCTCTATTGTTGGTACATGCTTTTCTAATTCAGGATCCTGTGACTACTTTAGAGGTCCTCTATTGTGGAAAGTTTGTTTGTCGGAAAGAACGCTGGAAAGAATACGGGCCAAAACAACTTGGCAAACAAGTCGTAGTGTCCAGCTGTTTGTTGGGTTGCTGAAATTCTTAAACTAAAGCCTTTTACCTTTAGGGTGGTTCACCCAACCAAGCTCTTCCCAGCTCAAAGGGTAAAGGCCTTGGATCTAGCAAGTCCATTCTGCCAGTGGCCTCCAAACCATCAAATTTAAGACAACTTATTTACAAAAAAGTGCGGGCAAACAGTCACACAAAGGGGGTCGCCCACAAGAAGCCCTGATCCTCTTTAATGTGACTGTTTTGGGGTCCTCTTTAGTGTCCAAGCTTTTTGGGGGTTGCTGACAAGAAACGGTTCTTGGCAATACTGAAGTAGAATTGGCAATACACTGGGAATCTGAGACTCAGCCTTGGCAATACTAAAGTAAGTACTGTCCCTCCCAGACCCCCAGGATTTTCTCTACAGAAGGGCTGTGTAAAGTGGGTCCAACATTACGCGAATCTCCAAGCGACAATTGCATCCTTCCTCGGCCTTCGATCGAACATTTCCGGGAGACGCATGGTAGCTGAGGGCGAAGGGGGGGGGGGGAAGCGTAAATGCCGAAGACAGCGAAGATTTCACAACTGCCAGAAACAAACGCACAAATATCGGAAAGCAGGCTGCGTTGGCCGTGAAAGCGCAAGTGCCTCGTCGCGCCGAGTCGGCGCAGCAAGAACCAACGGAAAAACACCGAAAACACCATGCCTTTTCAACCTCTGAGGGGCTTGTGTCACGGTACTTGCACCCAGCTCAACGTACGCTCCCCGGCGCGACATTGATAACAACACATTCAGGTGAGATTCTATAAGAAAGATATCTAAACTCAGGTTTTCGTTGAGAACCGTCAAAAGAAACCTGCTTCCGCTTCGCAGCGACTGCGCCGTTCTGGACCCCCCCCCCCGCGCGCGCGCAGCTTTTTCCCCAGGTCTGCAGCATTCTCCTTTGGAGTCACGGGAACGTTGAATGAAACCCCACACCAAACGACTGGGCCCCAACGCAACTACGAGGACAAAGATGTGGCCTTCTTTTTGTGGAGTGTCCAGTGTGGGTATGTGCTAGAATCGGAGAACACTGAAACGCAATGGCCTTCTTGTCGGTTTCCCTTTGAGCCAACCTTAAAACGGGGACCCTCCAACAAATGGATAAGGCGCAAAACAACAAGAAAACAAACAAACAAACAAACAACGCTTTGAAGAGTTTTGCGTCCATTACAGTGGGGAAACCACGCGCTTGAGCGCGCGTTTACAGCACGACGGAGCCACAAAGAAACAAACAAACAAAAGAACGGGCAAACAAACAAGCAAAAGAACGAGCAAACAAACGAGCAAGAGAACGAGCTAGACAAACAAACAAACAAACAAACAAACAAACAAACGGCAAAAACAGGCAAACTAACAAACTAGCAAACACACACACTCAAACAAGTCGGATCAGTTTTGCTACCTATTGGTCCTTGAAAAGTACCACCAGCTCCATCAAGGGCGCCTACCACCACCAAGCAGTTTGGTTTGTTCGAATGCCAGGGAAACTGTAGAATCAAAATTCACTTGGCCGAGCAAATCCAAGGGTTGACAGGGTTGACTATGATTTGACCAGACTGCTTTTTGATGAATCTTTCAGGTATTTTGACACCCCGATTCTCTCTCGTCAAACAGTTCAAGAGCCAAGAAGGGGCCCAGTATAGCTTAAACACCAAGAAAAACTAATTTGCCCAGCGGGCAGGGGCAAAAAAAGATGTGGGCAGTGGATTGGGGCAGGGTCTCTGCTGTGCTTTGAGGCAGGGTTCTGCCTGGATTCAAGCAGAGAACCGCATTCTGTGTACAGGTCTCGCGCTCTCTTTCAGATGCCGTCGCACATCTCATCTGCGGAAGGCAGCAAAGGAGGCAAACGCCTTCACTCAAAAAGGCTTGACTTTGTGTTGGACCGCCAAGTATGACGAGCTTCCTTCTGGCTCCCTTTGGCCTCCTTTTCAAAACCATCCAAAAGGAGGTCGTCTTTATCGGAACCCATAAAGGCTCTTGGGCTGCTCACATGGGCCAATCCGATTGCTTTTGAACGGCCCGGCCTTTCAGATCAGTCCGTTTTTTGTGTACAAAGGTAGACTTAAACGCGTGGTTGATTTCCAAAACGAGTAACCCCGGGTTCAAGTCCGCCCACCCTCTTTGGGACCCCTGGTTTCAGGTTTTGAAAAGATCAAGGTCTCCATCAGTGTCCATCACTTTGATCAAACGCGTACTGCATACCCATGTCCTTCCTTTCCTGGCCCCCAACCAGCAATCGAGCCCGCCGCATTCATTGAATCTCCCATTGGACTGCACCCTTTAGCCGGGTCTGGGAGTTGCCACGGTAACCCCTCAGATTGAGCACCTGACATATTGTCAGAGCACAAACGATAGGAGACCACCAAACAAGAGAAACAAACTGAAAACCGATTTAAAGATAGAACCCACCCCAAAACGAGGCTCAAAGTGACCGTCTCAGTATAAGCAGTACAAGCCAAAGACTTTTCAACCACTGGGAAACAGCCGCTAACCCTGCCTGACTTCGGGAAGTCGACTAGCCAGACGTACCCGTTCCGACACGCAGCCTTAGCTTGGCCAAAACCCAGCTTGTAGAAACACCCAGTGTTTCCATGTCCACTGGCTGTTCTTCGAAAACATCACCTTTCGGGCCAACTTAAAGCGAGTCTTCGTTTGGTGGGGTGGTCAAAGGGGGGGGCCTGTTAAACGGTGCTTCGAATTCAACGAACCGAAAAACTGACCCTGCAAGTCTCGCTTGTTCTTTTGCCTGGGGGAATGGTTCAGATCTTTGAAATGGCCTCCTTTTGGTCCCTCTTGGACTTAAGGAGACCTTTTGGGCGTTTGGTAGCATAACATGAAGTTTGAAGGCCGAGCAGCTGGACGGAAGGCTGGAACCCGGTTCTGCGCAAGGCTTCCACCAGCTCCGCCACAGAGACCTCCGGCCTCGGAGGAACCGACCCTGTGGTTTTTGGACCCTTTTTCTGAGTGCTTCGATTCCCTTTGGTTAGAGTTTGAAGGGATACCAAAACGGGGCCAACCATTTTAGGGCCTGGGGTGTGAACTTTGGAGAGCGCTTTGGACATCATTTGGGGGATTCGTGTTTACCAACCACAGAGGTGGTTGTCCCTTGAAGTTCATAGCCGCAATTCCACTTGAAATATGCATATAAAAGACAACCACATCCCCTCGGCCCCATGCACACAACTGTTTTCTATCACTTAAAACGGACTGTCAAAGGGCTACTCACAGAAGATGTCCCAAACACATTTGTGGTCCACAATCTGCGTGAATCATGATGATTCACGGATTGCAACTCTGGAATTCATCTAAGGGTTCTTCATGGGGGCCCCTCGGTCGCAAACAACGTACGGTCCATTGCTTCAAAGATCCGCTCTCGCCACAAGAGGACCACATCTCCAGAAAAACCAAAGGAGACCGAAGCAATGCTAAGAGGACACCAAAGAGCAAAACAGAAAGCCCAGAAGAAGCCTAAAGGAATTCCCAAGGGAAGTCGCAAGGGAAATCAATTTGTCTGTCCTTGCAAAAGGATGACCCAGAGGATATCAAACATTTTGGGGTTCCAGAGACAAAAAGGCTCTGGCCATGTTTTCGGCGCTTGTGGTTGGATCCAAATTGCATCCGTGGGTATGGTGGATTCCCCCCAGCTTGGAAAGGAAGCCGAAAATGGAAACCACCAGAACATCCCAAAAGGACACCAAAAAGGAAAACGGAAAGAAAACAAGCAAATGCCCAGCAAAAGCCTTTAGGAAGCCCTAAGAGAAGTCCCAAAAAAAGAATCCCAAGTGAAATTCCAAAGGAAACCAAAACGAAAGATACGACCGCACACTTTTCGGGCCGAGGTGCAGCTCGCGTGCCAGCTCTTTCAGGTCCAGCGAAGCATCTGCCGCCGTGCCGGCCGCGCCGGGCAGCGAAGCTTCGGCTGCTATGGCCAGGAGGCGACGGTCCAGCGGACCTCGAGAAAACCCCAAAGGGAACCCAGGATTGATACCTTGTTTCTTCTTAGTTCAGGTACAGTTACCCTTTGCCAAGCACCAGTAAACTTTAGCTGTTGTACAGGATCCGTGAACATTCAACGACGATTGTTCAGCTACGTGTTCTGCGTGTGGAACGGCACAAGGGGGCTCCTAACTTTCGTAATGAAAACTGAGGATTAACAACCTCCTTTTGAGCGGGTTGATTTATCCGGGGTCAGCATGACCCAAAATAGCCAGAGACATAATATGTCCGTTCTCCTCCCCACAAAGGGGACATAGAATCACAACTTGATATCTCCAGGTCAAATCCTCCCCACTCCATCTTTGGGTGTGAATGCGAGAGGGCACGGCTTTCAGCTGAAACCAGTCAAGTTGACTGTCTTTACTAAACCTTTGCATAAACGAGGAGCACACCTGCCCAAATGTGTAAAGTTTGCCAAGTCTGACTAAAAGTCAACAAGTAATGTAAGGCAAGTGGCTAGAGACTGAAGAAATGGCAAAGTAAGCTGCACGACAGCCCGAAAACCAACATGGAGCCTAAAGAACCCCCCCTTTAAATTGGTACAGGGGATGATAAGACCAAAACGGGCGGAGTTGTGCCGTCCACTTTCACCCGACTGTAAAATTCGAGTGGATCTACTTTAGCAGGGGCTGCTCGGCAGCTTTCTACGGCAACTTCTCCCTGCATTTTGTCTTGCTGTGTGGGCGATTGCAAACATGATCCATGTTACCCTGTCTGAGCGAAACCGAACACTCGACCGCAATGCGAGACACAAAGCTTTCTTCCGAGCCAAAACCTCAACACGGGCCATCGCTGGTTGAGTAGTAGCTGTTTGTTTAGTGGTCCGTGTCTCTCTAGATTTAGTATAGGCGGAGTTCGGTCTGTAGGCTACTGACAAAGTGTGTTTGCTCAGTTAAATAAATAACAACTATACCGGGAAGGCCGGTATGTTGCAAGGACACCAACAACTGGGGTCGCATGCCACGCATTCTGGGGTTTCGAATCATCCCACATTTACTTCCTGCCATGCTGAGAAACCTCACCATCTGCGCCGACCAACCATGTTACGCCCCAGCCCATCTGGAGAAAGTACGCCCCCAAGAAAGGACCTTTGTCAAAGCTTTTTTGGGGGGGAAAGGTCGTGTTTTTGATTCCCACGCTTCCAGGCTCCAACCACAAGCAGCCTTGAATCTTGCAAGAGAATCCCCCCCAAGAAAATCCCGTGTTGTTTCGTGGGTTTACTTGCAATAGTTTGGGAATCTTGTTCCAGCATTGACTTCCGATGTTTCGTCGCATACCGTAGAGGCATCACACAGCTCTGGTAAGCTCGCCATAAACAGGGCTCCCCATGCTTCCCCTTTAACCATCACCCTTCCAAAGGGCAACTCAATTTGGATCCGGCCATGAACTGATGCTCAAATCCCACAAGGCTGGGAGAAAGGGAACTTTGGTGAAAACGGGGAGAAATTCATCCCTACCAAGCCGCGCTTGTCCGGAACCTCAGGAACCTCCGGAACCTCGGCATCAGCCTTCGCCGCCAAGTGGGCCAAGGCCTGGTTGATGCGATGGACAAGTCCTCCAAGTCACGCTGCGCAGTTTCAACATAAAAGTGGGGAGGGGGGGGGGGGTTGACAAGGGTCCTAGAGTGACTGCAATCTAATGTGTGCAAACAATTGCGTGGTATTCTGTTATGAGCATCCCTTGATCTGGCTTCTGTGTCGAGCACACAACTCAATACTTTAGATCCTAGTATAGACTTCTTCTCAAAGTGGGAGGCTTCCAAAAAACTTGACTTGCCAGGGTTCCCTCGATGGGGGGGAGAGGCTGGCTACGGCTACAACTTCTCTAAAAAGAACAGGATGCCAGGCCAAACTTGACACACACGCCCAACCTGGGTTCCCGTAACCCCCTTCTTCTATGGCTGGTTGTTGTTGGTATGTGTGCCACATATGTATATGTCATTAAATCGCGCACATGGTGGTTGTTCTAAAGTCCTTTGTCTCGAAACAGCCATTCTTCGCGAAAACAGACATTTACCTTCGCGAATCTCTCGCGGATTCATCGCCATGCACTTTTAACAACTATTATCAGATCGTCGCAGCTTATCGGCACAAGTGCACGCAAAATGCTGTTCCGCAGCTCCTGCGGGAAAATTGCGGCCTTTTCCAGCCAGGGGCCGTTGAAAATCATTGTCTACGCAAGACTACAACCATCGAAAGTTTGTAGCTCCTAGAAAAGATTCGAGCCCCTCAAATGGCTGGTTCACCTTGCTTGTTTTGCATATGGGACTCGTTCTAAATGTCCTTGTAAGCAGTTTAGTATTCGCCGACCATCGGTGTTGGTTTTGGTTCGCGAAAGTTTTGCGTAACTGTATCTTGTGAAAAGTGAGATATGAGATACCACTGGGAAGCCAGCAACAAATGTCGTTAGCACGCAAGTGCTTGATACCTTGAGCATCAGCTGTGCATATTCTTGATTCTTTCTTCGCCCCACACTGTAAAGGGGCGTGCTCCTTTTCTTGTGGGTGCGGATTTATTTTGGGAATTGTTTTTCGTTTTTTCTTTTTTCTTTTGTTTCGTTTTTCGTCCGGGCCAGTAGAACGTCGTATTTTACAGCATTTTCTCGCGAAATTGACGCATTTTACACTAGCCCGTCAACATCCCCAGCATCGTTTCTGTCAAGAGACGGCAAGGTGACGTCCCGTGGGACGCTGTGCACCGAACCCTCAAGCTTTAATACCAACCACGTAGAAAGGTGTATACGGACGATGCCGTTATAGCCGAACCCGTGTAAACGTTGTAAGGGAGAAGGAATGATAGTTACAACAGTGGTCCTGACAAATGCAGCGCAAGCGAAGTGTTTTCGCTCTCAATGCCGATCACGTAGGTATGCAGTCACACATCAGATCTTGAACCTCAATTGTGTCTTGAGCCAAATGGCGATCAATGGAACTTGGGAAGCAACACCAACAAGGACCTCAGAACAGCTACCCAATTTCGGCACGGGGCCTAGAGGGTTTTAACATCCCCCATTTGGGTCGCATTGTTCATCATGCGGTCCAAACACCACAAAACGTTCCACTGGCCACGGCTTCAACTACGAAATCGTGTCGTGCATTCTTTTACTTGCTATCACTACACCGTTCATTCGCTGTGAAACATGCCGGGTTCGATTGTACGAAAAGTGAAACATTCATCCTCCAATCGAAGCACACATCCATATGCAGGTGTATATAATACACAATCGTCGCGTCATTTGACCACCAATGAACAATCCAGCTGCCGCATTTGCGCATCGCGCAGCTGTCATCCATAAATGGGTTGGCCGAAAAAAGTCCACCAGAGGCGCCTGCTCGCAATCGGTCTGCATAATTCCGGCAAAGAAACATCGGTGAGTAATCAATGCAAATCATAGCCATTCCAGATACCATGGACAATGCATAAATAATGAAAAGATATCATCTATAAGGTAATAGTTCCATCCATGAATATCCAGAGCGTCATAGTCATCGGAATATGTAACCATGTACACATCCATTCAACTTGGATATATGAATATAAATCATGACGTAAGTCGTTCCACCGAAACAGTGTCGATGTGACGCAAGTAACAGATGGGGATTGACCCACATCGTACCGCAATCAGCATCTTTACGAAGCATACCTGTCCCCAATGGACAGCCTATGGGTACGTCGGCGGAACTCCTCGTCCAAGTTCTTCTGGGCTTCTCGTGCCCGGACACACTTCTTGTTGTAGTCCTCTGGCAACCAGTGCCCTTTCCGAAGGCACCAATCCAGCAGGGGTGTGTCGCATTTGTTCGGGTCGACGGCCGAGATGATGGCGCTCACGTTGACCGTGTAACCATGTTTGCCAAGGTTCAGGCCATCCCTCACGAATGATATATACTTACAGTTGAAAGCTAGTGCAAAACATCTGAAAATAATATCACCCACCGGGTGCACTCGGTCCTTGACCAGGAGCTTCATTTCTTCCTTGGTGACATCGAGGATTCTCGCTGCAATCCACAGCTTGTAGAATGTGTAAAGTCCCTCGCATTTGCACACCATCATACGAATATATTCGTCACGCTCCTCAACCGATCGGAAGGCTCTTGTCCGAACATTCTCCGACTGAGAAATCTTCGTTATTGTTGATGGCAATAGTATACCTTCCTGATCGTGCTCAGTGATGTTGGGGTACCTCTTGAAATCATTGTGGTAAGGGCAGCCCTCTCTCCCCTCGAGCTTGGCATTCATCGTTCTCTCCTCACCACCCTCGAACATCCCCCACATCTTGGACATCTGGAGTGCGATAAATCCTGCCATGTACTGAGCCTCACGCGGCTCGTCAAGGCAGATCGCCATCCGTTGGGAACTTATAATGTCCCGTGACGCCAGATCGGTGTCGCGGTAATGCCAACCGCTGTCTTCTTCTTCTGACGCATAGCCGGATGTATATCCTTGCGTGTCCATGTCGTCATCTTCTCCCGGAACTTCCTCCGCTTCGTCTTCATCCTCCTGTGCTGCCGCATCGTGGTTAGCTTCTTCCTGTGCACGCCTGGCATCTCCAGAGACGTTGGGGTTTTGGTTGTCCTCCTCGTCATCGGATTTGATGTGAATGTAGTATCTTCCGATGGAGATCAGTTGTGCCTCGCACTCCAGGCATAAGCAGAAGCAGGTGGGGATCGCGGTCGCACATGATGGACATATCCGGCACCTCAGTCCTTCCCATGTCTCGTCATTCAGGATGACGACTTTGCTGATTTCGTCCCGGACCTCGTTGACCTGTGCATTGAACTCTTCCATCTTGTTGATTCGATAGAGTTCGCAGGCACGATTAACCATGTCAACGATGTAGTGCAGATTATCGGCACCTGTCTCAGTCTCCGGCATCCTCTCGCTGATCTTTGCGACGTTCTGGAGGAACATCGCAGCCGACTCTTGGGAAGAGTTGACAAAGCCAGGGCAGATCTCGTTC